CGCCTATATAAGAAAAAGACCCAAAAATCGGGACTGTCCCTATAAAATCGGGACATCTGGTCACCCTACCAGCCACACATTGTCATACCTGTGCAGCCCCCCGAAGACAGAGGGCAAAATTCAATCCTGCAGCTGGAATTTAGTTAACTATTCCATTGATGCATAAGCCAGAATGGAATCCAGCTCCCACTCCCATGTTAGCTCTATAGGGCTAACATGAATAGCAAGGATCTTTGTCATTAAAGCCAGTAGATAGGACTCTGAATACACAAGGTGAGCAGATCTGGTAAGTAAGTTGGTAAAATGTTAGTCAGTCAGTTTTTCAGAAATGCCCACATTTTATAATAATTAGTTTGACCTGCACAAACTTGCTTGTGACATTGAGCCAAATCCTACCCTCCCTTCACAGAAGAAGCAATCAAAGAGTTGAACATCTGAATAGAAACACTTATTCTCTCACTACATTAAGAGATTAATAATCACATGCATTGGTTGACAATCATGTTCAAACAGCTTGGGTGAAGTGGTTACAACTTCTATTTACAGGAATTCATGCAAGATCTATAGTGTGAATCATATGGAGATCACATTAGGAAATAATTACTCTGGCAAGGAATTAGAGATAATATGTGACTCAGATGGCTGGAGCCAGCAGCACTTTTAACTGTTTCAATTGCAGAGAAGGTCTAACCAGTTCTGTCTGATGTCACAGGCATTTTACCTTTTCTCAGCCTGTGTGCTGTACTGTAACCAAGCACCACTGCCACAGGAAACCAAGAGATGCTGTAAGAGAAAATTTGTACCAATGTGCGTGTCCATTACCTTGGGAACTCAGCATAAGCACTCAAGAGAGTACAGTGATGACAGTAGGATAATACAGATCATCACCATACATCTGGTCAACTGTGGAGGAGAAGGCAGCTGACATAATGGCGAGGCCATTAATTTGAGGATATGGGAAACAATAGGGATACGAAATACTTGCACTTATCGAGGCCTTGTCTAGCCTACAAAGGCTTTGCTGGAAGAGCTGTACCAGAATAGTTATTCTGGCAGTGGAGACATGGTGTACGCCAACAGATGGAGTTTTTCTTTCAGCAATGTAACACCACCTCCACAATGACATTAGCTAGGCCAACAGAAGCATTCTTCTGTCGGCAGAGTTGCATCTACACTGGGGGTTTTGCCAGCATAGCTATGTTGGCTAGGGGGATGTGATTCTGCCCCTCCTCCCCCCACCCCCCACACTTCTGACCAAAACAGCTATGCCAACAAAACTCTGGTGTAGACCTGGCCTGATACCAGATGCGAAGTTGGAAATGGATGGAGAAGATAACTTCCTCTCGTCTCCTGTAACAGCAAGAGATTCCAAATCTAAGCATGTCAAATAAGCAGAAAGGCCTGTATGGTCCCCTGTATGGCACCTAGGGAAGGATGGATGAGAGCAAGCTCTGTACTTAAGGCGACCTGCAGGGAAGAGAAGCTGTGCCCTTTTTTTGCTGTTTTATGGATATATACAGCAAAACTGGCTGTTTTTGTTTTTTAATATAACAAAGACACATGAGAAATTCTGGTCTTGTCTTTCCTGGATGGCTCTATGGTGACTGGAGAAATAGGGAAATTGCCCTGGAAGTGTCAAGAGGAGAAGAGATTTTAAATCGTTGTATAAAATGTAAGGTCAACTCTACCTGTGAAAACAGATTCAAAATCGGAAGATTGGCAGGGTTGTGAATAAGGAACAGGTTTTGTTTCAAACTGTAAATGATGCTCTAGGTTTTAGATCTTTCACATGTATCCTGTTAGTTATAAAGAATAAAAATAAACCTTTGTAGGTAATTTTTTAGGGACCAAGAAGTTATGATTTTATTTATCTTGCATCTTTTGTAAGTTCATATAGTGTTTTATTTACAGTTACTAAAAACTTCTACATAGAGATCACAACACAGCAATAAATTTCAGCCACCTCTGGGGAGAGACACAGCAGCCATATAACAGAGTCAGTCACAACGTTACACAGGAATTGAAGAACAACTCTTTATCCAACATGAAGTAATGGAGGAATAAGTACAGAATGAAATTGCTCAAGTGGCAATCTAACAGGACATCAGGGTTAACACCTCCAGTCTTCGAAAGCATACACAGGACCTGTAATTACTTAGGCTGGGAGCTTTAGCAAGCGTACAGGCCGGGGGAGATGTGGCTGCAGGCTAACTGCTCAGAATGCTTAAACACCGAAGTAAACTATGCCTAGGGCTTTGCCCTGGTTTTTGAGCTGGACTCACAGGGCTACAACTACACTGCATGCTAAGAAGTGTGATGACTGATTCGTCTTCTAGAACATAAAATCAACTCTTCTAGGAAAATCCACTAAACGAGTGTTGGTTTTGAGAAGAACATGCAAAAAAGGGTTATGTAACTAAAACCCAGACAAAGCTAGAGAATTCAAAAGCCTTGTCTAATTGATGTGTATGTTTCAACCCCAGGGCACAGAGGCACCAAGGGAGCCTACTCTATTGCATGCCATCAGCACCTTTAGGCAACACCTCCACACAACAGGGACGGACATACTGTAGTACTGATATCTTGGGAGGGTTTGCAGCAATCCCTGTCTGATGTTTCTCCATTTAGCAGTGAGGTGTGAAGACAGAAGGTGAAGTAGACATGAAAAGGAAACAAGTGTTGAGTCTGCCTTGATAACTTGGCAAATACATGTTTCAAAACACAAAGTCTTCTTAAAATTTACAAGACCAAGGAGCAAAATGCTCACTTGATGCCTCAGCACCTCCTACTTGGCTAACTCCAGGAACATACAGCAGCCGTGTCCTGCTCTGCTCCCCACTGGACCAGAGCAAGCACTGCACAATTTACTGAATTGGATCAGGGTTTAATAGGGGAGTTAAGGGACCCCTTGCATGCTGAAATGGAACTTGGCTGAGCAAGTAGGGCAAGTCCACCTTAACAATAAAAGGAAACAAACAAACAAAAAAGCAGCAACATCAACACAATCTATTTGGGGTGATGAAAAACTAGTGGGGGAAAAATTACAGTGAAATCTCTATGACAGTCCACACTTATTAAGCTTCGGAGTAGCAGCCCTGTTAGTACAGACTAAGAGGACTCCTCCCCCCTCCTCCTCTATATATAGTGTATGAACTTATCAAGTACAGTTCTCCTCCTCCTTTCATAGAAGGTCACCGCCATTAAACAGTCTCTATCTTACTTACTTGTATGGCCACCCATTATCATAGTAGCTAAGCATCTTCCAATCTTGTGTGTATTTAGCCCCACAACCCAACCCCCACCCCCCCCCCCCCCCCGGCAGATCAGTGCTATCATCCCCATTGTGCAGATGGGGAACTGGTACACAAGAGAGGCTAAGTGACTTGTTTAAGGTCACACAGGAAATCTGAGGCAAAGCAGGGAACTGAACCTGGATTTCCCAGGTTAGCACTCCACTCACTGGAAAAGCATCTGTCCTAAGCAAGCTCTAGAGATAAAGTGGTTTCACAATACTCCAGCAACATATAAGAAAACTATCAACTACAAAATTGGGAGAACTATTTTGGAATATAGTCAACTGCACAGACTTTAAAGGGGCTCCTCTAAAAGACACCATGTCTTGCATATACTAAAAATGCAAATTTTTACCCTCCTATGATCTAGGGAGCAGATGGAAAGATATTACTCCCCACTGGAGTTCAGCTCAAGATGCAGTTATGGTGAGTGACTTGCAGGTCGACCCATTAGAACTGTAAATCTAACAGATTGCAAATGTTTGATTTTGTATATTAGCAAATTCCACTGCAGTGGGGGTTTTTGGGGAGGGGACGGTTGCTTTTGGCATGGAAAAGTATTTTGTAGAGATTTAATGGGCACATACAGAAAACAATCCAGCCGATATCACTTTACCTATATGCTCTTGAAAACACTGCAAATATCTGTTGAATGATGGGGCAATAAATGACTCTGAACACATTTGCTCTTATAATAGGATTTACCCCTGCTACGGCATGCAACATGAATCAGAGGGTAAGCATGTCAACTTGTCTGTACTCACATAGTGCTTAGAAGGGTTTCTCCTTTTCTCCACATCCACCACATTTGCGTCCAGCACGCTGTAGGATAGCATCTTCACACACAAAAACCAGGAAAAGCAAACAGGGCCCAGCTGTATCCTTGTATTATTATTATTCTTTCAAATCAGCTCCTCACCGTCCAGAGGATTTCCTAGGAAGCTGGGAACCTGTGCCCTGCAGAATAAGAATTTTTTAAATGTCCTAAACAAAACAAAAACGGGAGGAGGGGGGCGTGGATCAACTTCCAAAAATCTTTTCCTCCCCTAGATTTCACCCCCTCTTGGTAGGTTTATTTCCAAGACTTATCCCTCTTTGCGTGGAAATCGCTAATAGTTTAGTTAGGAGGGAGATGACAACGAACACTGTCCAGATTTGTCCCTCCGCGAAAAAAAAAGGGGGTGGGTGGGAAGAAGAGTGTTTTCAATTGCTTCCAAGAGCTGGACTAGATTTCCCCTGGGGGGTGGGAGGTAACACCCAGAGTCAGTGTCCAGGTGGCTGTCCTCCACGCGGGGGGAGTGTGACGGGTGGTCTCCAGCTGGCTCTGCCTTGAGGGTAGATGGGGGGCTCCGCGGCCCCCGGGGAGGTAGCTCCCTTTTGCAGGATGCCCCCTTGTGTCTGTCTCTCCCCCTGCCTGCCCTGCAGCGGCCGCTGCTTTGTATCTCCTGCGCCCCCGCTCCGCAGCCCCGGCTCCGGCCCCTCCAGCAGCAGCCCCGGTGGAAGGAAGCGCGGCGCGAGCGGGGCAGGGATGGAGCTGCTCCCCGGGGCGCAGCGGCAGGCAGGCGTGCGCGGCTCCCTTCCCCACCGCGCTCGCTCCGGGGCTCGCTCGCTCGCTCCCTGCCGGGCCGCTGCCACCGAGCGCTCGGCTCTGAGTGCGGCCGGAGAGCGCGGCCGGGCAGGGAGAGGGGCCGGCGGGCGAGGGGAGGGGCTGGGCAGGAGGGGAGGGGCTGGCCGCTGCCAGGCGGCAGGGGAGGGGTCAGGTTCCCAGGCAGAGATAGGGGGGAGGGATCTGGGGGGTCGCCCAACCCAGCCAGGGTATAGGATCATCAGGGACAGCAGGCACAGGGGTCTCCCCTAGAGGCCCCATGGGACAGCACAAGGGGGGGGGTTCCCCCCACCCAGCACTCTAGGCAACCAGCAGTAGAGGCCCCCCAGCCACAGCAGGAGGGCTGGGGTCTCCCCCGCACACCCAGGAACCAGGTGTTGTCCAAGACACCCCATATGCATTTACATTTATTATTTTTCAATCCTAGTCAAAGCGGCGGGGAAAGGCTGGTGCAGCTGGGGATTGGCTAGGTGTTTTCCCTAGGAGCTGTAACAGTGCTCAGATCCCAGGGGATAGGCACAATAGCTATAACCCATAAACCCCCATAATACCCCTCTGCGGGAGGCTTAGCAAAGGGAGAGGGAGTAGGGACTAGTACTTAGAGCAGTGGCCTGGAAAGCAGAACTGATGGTTTCTGTTCCCACTTCTGGCCACTGATCCAGTGTGTGACATTGGGTATGTTGCTTCCCTGCTGGGAGCCTCAGTTTACACAATAGTAAAATTGAAACAACATTTACCCTCCTCATAAGGCTGCCATGAAATCTCATTCTAAGGACACTGCCTTCTCTCTGTAGTTAATATTGCAGCAGGCTTTCCATTATGAGACTTTAAGAAGTTGGAGGGGGCAAAAATAGATCTTGTTCATTTAGCATTACAGTAGTGCACAGGGGCCACACTGAGAAAGGAGTCCCATTTTGCTAGGCACATTACAAACCCAGACTAAGGGAGTTTACAGTCTAAACAGAGAAGGGAAATAGTCTTATGGACAGGTTTCAGGGGGTGGGGAATGGAGGCCCAAGCAGATGAAGGGTAGGATTTTCAACAGCTTTCAATGGTTCCCTACTGCTTTTGGAAATTCACCCCAAGTGACTTGTCCACAAGTGTCATGTGTGACTTTGGGCAAGCTGAGTATAGACCAACTCTCCCATGTCACAGTCAAGAGCTACAAGTGCAAAACCACCCTTCCTCCTTCAGACAGAATTGTTGCACTGGCCCCAGGCTGACCTGCATAGATCTGATCTATGTCCAGGAGATAGGACAAAAATTGAAGGGACATCAAGCAAGCCTGTTTCTCCAACTTCCTGAAAACCCATACTGCTTACATTTTTTGTTTGAGGTCTAACATTCCCTTCCCCCAGTCACATTTAAAAGCTAGCTTGCCCTAGAAATTTCAGAATGCTTTTATTCACAAGAACTTCACAAGATCTAATGCATATGATTACTTTGGAGACAGTCACCTCAAAAAAGGAAGTTATAAATACTCCGGCTGCCTTTAGCTATCTTTATAGAGTTCATTAGTCCATTGCCAAATTCATTAGTTTTTTACCCCTGCACAGACTGGACTTATACAACATGAATACCCCAGATCTTTAAAAAAAAAAAACCACACAGACCAAGAACGCACCCAGACCAAGGTGGAAAAAAACCTTTATGAAGATAGAATTATGTATCGACTTCTTTATAAAAGCTTTACGACAGGCTTAAGGTTGTAAAGGTGCACCTTTAAAACTGTACACTTTTATACATGATTAGAATATAAAAAATGAACATGTTAGCATAATGGCATTACAAAGCAATAGATATTCGAAATCCTGGAAAGCAAAGGGTTAAAGTTTAATAAAGTGTGAAAGTCAATTCATACTAGGTTTCCACAAGCAACTTTTAAGGCAGACCCTGTATCATTGCCGACAGCATCAGTGGATGCAGATCAGTAACCCTGCAGTCTCTGGCTGTGGCCAGGGGGGGACAAGGCCTGTATAATGACATCTCTTTTGCCCATACAAAGAACTAACAACTAAACAATGCCTAGCTCTTATACAGCACTTTTCATCAGTAGGTCACAAGCCACTCTGCAAAAGGAGGTCAGGACCGTTATCCTCATTTTACAGCTGGCGAAACTGAAGCACCAAAAAGGGAAGTTACTTGCCCGGGTCACTCAACAGGCCAGGGGAAGAGCTGGAAATAGATCCCAAGTCCCCTGAGTCCCAGTCCAGTGCTCCATCCACTAGGCTACACTGCCTAAAAGAAAGCTGGTCTTATCCAGGCTTTAAGAACATCTCTCAGATTTGGGCTCCTTAAGCCATTATTATTTTGTATTGCAGCAGCCAATGAGAAACCACTATCAGGAGCAGGGCCTGACTGTGCTAGGTCACACACACCTAGTCAGTTACAGTCCCTGCCCCAGAGATCTTCCAGTCTCAGTAGAAAAAGTGAAAATAATGGGTGTAAGCAAACATACAGCGGCTGCTTGACTCTGCTGGGGTGAAGCAGGAATCCAACCCTTCCCCCAATCCCAACTGCACAGTTGAATTAGGTACCTCACAGAGGTGGAAGGTGTGTTTGGCTTTTACCTCCCTGTGGAGCAGCAGATATCATCTGCTTCCAGACAAAGTATATCAGACCAGATGGGCCAGCAGAAAATGCTATGATCCCAACAGCACATATTTGCTATTGCCCTTAGCTGTGTGGGGTTGCCACTAGATTCCACCTGGGAAGCAAACTCTGGGCCTAATTGCACGCATGAGATCAATGCACAGCAGTAGGCCAGAAGGGAAACATGGCTTCCCAACATGTTAATTTGATCTCATTTCACCTTATTGGCTCCTCCCCCCCATTTAATTCCACTCACTCTTACCTCCGTCTCCTCCTGCTTTCACAGGACAACCCATCTCTAATCCTCCTTGTACTCGACAAGGCATGGATAGCAATTATTTACATTAGAAACCATTTCTGTTTAGTCTAGCCAAAGAGCCCCTTGTGTGTAGCGCAAACAAAGAAAATTCTTCTATGAAGATGTAAATATCATTCAAATAATCCATTGATAAGCATAGCAATGCCCAGGCATATTGTTATCTATCTGGGTCTTGGTCACATTCTTTTTACACAACACAGTTATTTTAAAAAAAGCCCCTCTTCCCCCCCCAAAAAACCAAACAAACAAGCAAACAAAAAACCACCACACAGATTCCTATCTGGAGCGGGTCAAAAATGATTTCCAACAAATTTGACTTCCCCTCCGCCCCCCCATCCCCCAAAAAAGTCAATTTTGTCAAAAGTTCAAACTTTAGTTAACAAAAAAAAAGTTCTCAGTAACTATTTGTCACAAAAAATATTTTCCCAACCCCCTCTGCTGCTAACCCTTTGCTGTCCCTCTTGTTAATTTGCATTTCCTCACCTTCCTGCTGCTTTTCTAGCCCTTCTTCCCAGTGATATTTTATTGACATGTGGCCAACGCTGGCACTGGCAGTTTGGGGTAAACCTGTGAAATGATTGTGCTCACCGGCCTGCTTTTCTTTCTCCTGTTACCCAGCCCTTCCACAGTTCCCAGTCCATCATCACCCAGTTTCCTCCTCTGCTCTAGTCCCCTTTCCTGCACTCTCCTCTATTGTCTCATTCATTAACACTCTCCACCATGCTCTATGCCCTACCTATTTTATTAAACATGATGTTTCACTGTTAGCTTGTCCTCCCCTTGCCAAGGCTGTTTAGGACAAGGACTGGTTTTCAGTTGCATGCGTGTACAGCATCTAGCACAGGGGTTTTCAAACTGGGGGTCGGGACCCCTCAGGGGGTTGCGAGGTTATTACATGGGGGGTCACGAGCTGTCACCCTCCACCCCAAACCCCGCTTTGCCTCCAGCATTTATAATGGTGTTAAATATATTAAAAAGTGTTTTTGATGTATAAGGGGGGGGGGTCGCACTCAGAGGCTTGCTGTGTGAAAGGGGTCACCAGTACAAAAGTTTGAGAGCCCCTGATCTAGCACAACAGGAGCCTGATCCCAGACTGGGAACTCTAGGCACAATGGTATTATAAAGGATAATAAAAGAATTACAACCCCCTTGCCCTTTTTGGGGCTTGTGAAAAGCAGCTCTCTCATATCAGTCAGCAGCACAGAAAATGAAAGTGAAC